TTTTTCCCCTTCTTTGACCTTTTTTTCCAAACCTTAAACACTTAAAAAATGTTGGAATTCACCCCCCAAAATTCCCCGAGCAACCAGGGGGGGGGGGGGAATTCTGGGAGTTGAAGTCCACATATCTTAGAGTTGCCAAGGTTGAGAAACACTGACCTAGACTGATATTACCAGACTGATGCATCTGATGAAGTGGGTTGCAACTCACGAAAGCGTATGCCTTTTAATAACATTTGTTAGTTGGAAAAAGGGCCATCCGACTCCTGATTTTTTGATACTCCTAAGTCCAAAAGGACTTTGGAACTATAAAGTCCTTTTGGACTCTTAGTAGTATCAAAAATCAGGAGTCAGATCTTTCCTGTGGATTATTTATTCAGTTCTCATTCTTTATTTGATTTATACCCCGCCTTTCTTCTCTGGCGAGCGCTCAAGGCAGGTGATTATTTATTTATTTATTTGACTTATATAGCGGCCTATATGGTAACCACAGCTCTGGGCCATTCACAGGACAACTAAATCCTCCCCAAAGGTGGTGGACAGAGCCAGCTTTCCAGGATTTCTGGAAGGCAAGGTGGATGGGGCCAGATCACCTGGGGAAGGTGTTCTGCTAACACCTCCATAACAGATAATAGGTTTGTCTTCAGAACATTGCAGGTTTTAATTCCGGTTGAAATAAAAGAGTAATATCTAGCTTCTGTATAGGTGCCACACAACAGATGGATGCCCAACATTTCTGTCAGTGGCTCGAAATATATATTTTTTAAAAAAATCAATGTACCTGTCGGGTAGCGAAAAATCATTCTTTCCTGAGATTTTTTGATTAACCAAGTATTGGTAGGCTTAATCCAGTGATTGAAAATGTTTGGGAAGTTGCTTTAAGAGAGGAAATGGAAAGCATCTATATGCAACGCGGAAGAGGCTTGTAATAACTGATCTTCGCATCCAAGAAACCATCTCGACCCTGAAAAAAATTGAATTTTGATGGGGATTTGCTGCAAATCAGTGGCTCAGAATTAATTCGTTCCACCATAAAACAGGCTTCTCCTGATTTAGAGAGAAAGAGAGCTTTGTTTTCATGAACATGGTGCAGCTTATGGTTGATTTCAAAATGAGAAGAGAAGAAAGCTGCACAGCTTCTGTATTAAGGCAGATTTTTACAGTGGGTCGTTCCCATTTTAGCAGCCCCCCGTTTTTTCCTTCTCTCTGCCCAGCCACAGTTGAAACTTAGGTTTGGGAGAAAACCCTGGAACCTGACTGTGGGTCCCTGGATGTTGTTGGGGTGCCATAAAGATGGGGAACTTGTAGCACATCCATGCTGAGGTGTGTCAAGACCTGTACTTCAGAGACCTCTAGAAGACTCAGGTTCACCCCGCTCATAGGAAACAACACTGGCAATTGCCTGTGATAGGAGATGTGATGGGAGATGTGGAGCCATGCTTGGGAAGCACTGTAGTTGAGATGGAAATTCTGATGGCTGAATGTGACATCATTGGTGTCCTAAGCACTTACCTAATTTTGAATTCAGCCTCCTTTCTGTTGTACCATGTCACCATCCAAAGAAATGGCTTTTAACTATAGCTTCCATCCATCCATCCATCCATCCATCCATCCATCCATCCATCCATCCATCCATGTATGCAACTGACTAGCAAGGATTTCTTGCTGAAATCAGCCATCTATTTTCAGTGGACCATGTTGATTAGAAGCCAGCAGAAGAAGTAGATCAAGATCTCAAAGGATCCACGGGTCACTTTTAGAATTTTGAGTCATATTCTCTTCATGTGGACCATACTGAGCTACAAGTACCAGTAGAAGTCCAAGCTACAAGTACTGAATACAAGCTGACTTAGAGTATTTTGTCTCAGGCTGTTTTGTCATATAGTCAACGTTATCTGATGGTGCTGTGTTCCTGTGGCAACATTCTTCTATGGATTGTTCCCTGATTTCACAGGGGTTTCATGGGGATTTCATAGAGATTTCATGGGGTTGAAAGCAAGCCTGTGGATCTGCTTATCTGGAACCAGCTTCATGCATTCTTGGCATATATATTTTGAAATGTCTTTAATAATTCCCTGAAGATCTGAGCATTGGCTGGTTTTCCATTTGCAGAAGTGGACGTTTAGAAAGTATGATAAAACATTCCAGCCTGTCTTTGATTCTTTTGTCAGTTCATATAAGATGTGTTGCCTGAAACTTTTGGATTCCTGGATGTGAAATTCATCCACCATTGGAAGAAATGTCTCTTAGGAAAATCTATCTGTTGGTTTAATTGCATGTAGGTTTTAGGAAGCCGTGAAATTGTTGTGGTCTGGAAGCCACATTGATTTTGTGCAGTTTCTCTTTGCTATTCAGTGTTTGAAAAAGGTGTGTGCTCAGACAGCAAACTTTACAAGAATATTTGTTTTGTTGAGAGCAGAAGGCTTTGCAGAGACTGCTGTAAAACCTTTGAATATAAAGAGTTTTTGTTTGGAATTCCTGGTTGATCCCTAATTTACTTAAAGATTCCTTTTATGGCTATTTTTTTTTTTTTTTTTGGAGTTGAACTCAACTCCTGGGCACTATGCGGATG